CAGAGTCTAGCTCCCCACACCTGGTGCCTGGTCCAGCCCTGTGATCGCTGTGACCAGGTCGGAATGTGGCCGGAGCCAGTTCCAAGGCTGGGTCTTATACGTTTCCACGTGTTTGCTTTTGCACTTTTGCTTTGTCATGAGAACACACCCAGGCTAGCCTGCTAGAGGGTGAGAGACGTGAGGAGAGGAGCTGAGCCGCCCTGGTTGATTAACCACCAGCCAACTAAACCCCAGACACAGGAGCCCAGGCCAAACCAGAGCCTCTCAACTGACCCACAGACTCATGAGCTAAATAAAGCCTTGTTTTAAGCCACTGAGTTTTTATGGCTGTTATGCAGGTTTGCTATGACCTAGATGACTGGTGTTGGAGAAGACTCTTGAGAGTCCCTTGGACTGCAAGGAGATCCAATCAGTCCATCCTAAAGGAAATCAGTCCTGAATATTCATTGGAAGGACTGATGCTGAAACTCTAATACTTCGGCCACCTGATGTGAAGAACTGACTCATTGGAAAAGACCCTGATGCTGGGAATGATCTGAGGGCAGGAGGAGAAAGGGACGACAGAGGATGAGATGGTTGGATGGCATCACAGACTTAATGGACATGAGTTTGCGTAATCTCCCGGAGTTGGTGATGGACAGGGAGGCCTGGCGTGCTGCAGTCCATGGGGTTGCAAGGAGTCGTACACGACTGAGTGACTAAACTGATTGAGATGACTGATACAGATGTTTATGTTGTTAAACTTTGGGTATCAGAGGATGCAGCCCTAGTACGAACTTGCTGTGTGGCCTTGGAGAAGTCACACCTGTCTCAGCTGTCCTTCCTATTTGCTAAATGGCAGTAATAACACCCAGGGCTTTTGTGATGACTGGGCTCAGCTGCTGGAGTTAGACTGAGGTTTGAACACCAGCTCTACCGCTTTCTGAACGCCCAACCTTGAAGGATCCCTTGATGTGTCTGAGCCTTGTGTTCTTCACTTATTGGGTAATAAAACTATCTCAGAAGGACTGTTGTGAAGACTATCTCTTATCTTGAAGGCCGAGTCTGGTGCTTGCACATGTTTCAGTTATCCATTCACTACGTAACAAAACACTCAAACTTGGAGGTTTAAAACGAAAATTGTTTACTGCTTCTTTTGACTCTGTGAGTTGATGGGTTAGTTTTTCTGCTCCATCTGGTTTTGTAAGATGTCTAGGGGTGGGAGAGGGCGCAAGTTAATGGGAAGTGAGACTTTTTCATGTTAAAACTGGAGTGAGTGAAAGTCGCTCAGTATAGTGTCCGACTCTTTGCGAACCCATAAACTATACCATCCATGGAATTCTCCAGACCAGAATACTGGAGTGGGTAGCCTTTCCCTTCTCCAGGGGATCTTCCCAACCCAGGGACCAAACCCAGGTCTCCCACATTGCAGGCGGATTCTTTACCAGCTGAGCCACCAGCAAAGCCCAAGACCACTCGAGTGGGTAGCCTATCCCTTCTCCAGCGGATATTCCTGACCCAGGAATTGAACCGGGGTCTCCTGCATTGCAGGCGGATTCTTTACCAACTGACCTGTGAAGGAAGCCCCTAAAACTGGAGAGTCCCAGGGAAAACCTGAGATCGTCACTGTTTTTGCCCGATTCACTCGTGTGGCTGCACCTGGTGACGGGCTGACCTGGTCTGGGTTTTCAGGGTGGCATCACTCGTGTGGTTGGCTGGTGGTTGGTGCTGGCTGTGGGCTGGCAGGCAGGGGTGCAGAGTGGTGCCGGTGTGCTGGTCTACTCCCGGCTTCTTAGGTGGTTTGGGTTTTGCTGTGGTTCTTATTGATGTAATGAAAGGCCTGGATTGATGATCTCCCAGGTCCCTCCTTCCCAGCTTCTGTGCTCTGCGATCCGGAGGATAAATGACTCGCCCAGGGCCACCCAGGGAGGTGGGGGCAGAAACAGATACATCACAAGCCTCACACAAGGAGCGCTATTGATAAAGCAATCAGGAACCGAGAAATGACAGAAGCATGAAATGTACATCTGAGCATTGGTTAAGAGTTTTGAACATGGCAGGACCATCCCAGGGGGCAGGCTGTTTCCTGATTTATTGCAGACAGTGAAGTGTTCAGAGAAGCGTTAGAGGGGTCTGGGGGAAGTGTGGGTGATGGTCACAGAGACCCTAGAGCCCCCATGCCATGACTTGCGGAAGCCCTGCTGGAGGGGCCTGTTTTCAAACTAAGGCCGAGGGTATGTTTCAAACCGAGGCTCAGAGCAGTCAAGGCGCTTGCCCAAAGCCACAGTTAGCGCACAGCCGAGCAGGGGTGGGAGCCAGGACTGACTGCTTGCAAAGCCCAGCTTCCAGGCTGCCTTCAGACTTCCTCCTGGAGCTTTCCTCTGGGAGGCAGGGTCAGGGAAGGTGGCTGGTGGTCAGATGGGCAGCAGCCTCCTGCTTCTGCTCTGGAGGAAGGGGAAGGCCATACTGAAATGAAATAGGGTCACTGGGAACCATAGCCAGTGGGTCTACAGGTCAGGAAATCTCATTTCTTCCACTTTCTGACCCCAAAGCCCTTCTGACAGGCAGCCTGGCAGGTGGTTAAGGTCAGAGTTTGGATTGAGTTGAGCTGGACTTTGAGGCTCAGCCAAGTCCCGGAATGGCTGTGGGCTTCAGGCAAGGCCTGTACGGTCCCTGGGCCTCAGTTTCCCCAGGGAAAACCTAGCCCTGAGCCCAGCGCCCAACTCCCGGAATCCCTCCGTGGTGTCCTCGGGCATCCTGCACTGAAATCCCGCCATCCTACCTTTGGCAGTGGCCGAAGGGACAGATGACAGATGACCTCTTAAGGCATCTTTCTGACAGGGTTCTCCCCGCAAAGCCCAGCGAAGCAGCTGCAGACATACCTGCTTCCCCACCCCTCCAACCCGGGCATCAGGGCACAATCACAAAGGAAACGCGAGTCAAGTGGATCGGCCGGCCGGGGGCGCCAGTTGCTGGTTTATTCCTGATTTATCCCTTAAGGGCCCCGTGTCCCCTGAAACGGTGACCTCTATTAATGTTGACGTGTTCAAAAGCTGCAAATTGGGATGCAGCGTGCCTCTCCGGTCCCTTTAAAGAACCCGCTGTTAAGTTTCAAAGACCCTGGCAGAGCGTGAGGAGTGTCTGGGAATGCAATTCCTCCAGGAGGAATATTCCATCAAATGCCCACGTGATAAATGGGTACCCGAGTCACGGCAGACACTCACCTCGGACGAGCTGCCCAGCGCGGAGACTTCACTCGCAGGGATGAAAGGAGATTCATTCCAAATGGAATGCCTGAGCAAACAGCCGGCACCTGCGTGATCTCTGCTGCTCTGTCCTTTGCTGTAGACCCAGTTCCTCCAGCCCTTCCAGAGCCGTCTGGGTTGGAGGAAGGCCAGCTCCCTGCCAGGAAGCCACACCGACAACCAACCCCGCAGAGGTACGAAGCAGCCTCTGTGTGCCCAGGACACAGCCAGGGTGCTGCCCATAAGCCGTCGCACGCATGCCCGTTTGTGGCCGAGCGGGGTGGTTAGCTCCGTCCTGCGTGAGAAAGTGAAGCCCGGAGATTTTGGGGTGCTTGCCTCAGGTCTCACGGCCCAGGAGCCAGGACTCTGACTTGGAAATGGTTCTCTTTGTAGTATTTAGCTCTGGAAGAATGCTTAAAGGGGGCTTCCCAGGTGGCGCTCGTGGTAAAGAACTCGCCTGTCAATGCAGGAGAACTAAGAGACGTTGATCCCTGGGCCCTGGGGCCTGGCAGGCTACAGTCCACGGGGTCACACAGAATCAGACATGACTGAAGCAACTTAGCATGCACGCACGAACCATTAACGAGGTCCCAACAGCGGCATTTTATAGCACGAGGCCACGAATGGGGTCGTGGCTAGCCCAGGGTCACATGGTCAGTTCAGTAGAGAGCAATTTTCGAGTGATGAAAGGAAGTCCAGGTCTTGGCCTGACGTTGGCGTTTACTAGATTTAAGTCAGTTTTGTTTTTTCTCCTTTTCCCACCAGACCGAGGGAAAGGCTGTGGCCCGAGGTGGCTGCAGTGATGAGGGCTGACCCCTCAGTGCGCTGGAGTGAGCGCGCAGGCCACGCGGCCAGCCTGGTGCTGACCCCTCGGTGCGCTGGAGTGAGCGCCCAGGCCATGCGGCCAGCCTGGTGCTGACCCCTCGGTGCGCTGGAGTGAGCACCCAGGCCACGCGGCCAGCCTGGTGCTGACCCCTCGGTGCGCTGGAGTGAGCGCCCAGGCCACGCGGCCAGCCTGGTGCTGACCCCTCAGTGCGCTGGAGTGAGCGCGCAGGCCACGCGGCCAGCCTGGTGCTGACCCCTCGGTGCGCTGGAGTGAGCGCCCAGGCCATGCGGCCAGCCTGGTGCTGACCCCTCGGTGCGCTGGAGTGAGCACCCAGGCCACGCGGCCAGCCTGGTGCTGACCCCTCGGTGCGCTGGAGTGAGCACCCAGGCCATGCGGCCAGCCTGGTGCTGACCCCTCGGTGCGCTGGAGTGAGCACCCAGGCCACGCGGCCAGCCTGGTGCTGACCCCTCGGTGCGCTGGAGTGAGCGCCCAGGCCACGCGGCCAGCCTGGGTAGGGCGGGGCTGCACTGAGTCTCCATGTCACACACTCGCAGCCCTTGCACGCCAGCCTCAGGCCTGTGGCTGGAGAATCGGGAGGAGCCCTGGAGGCGAGGTGGCCGTCAGCCCTGCAGGTTCCCGCTGAGCTCCTGCACCCCCTGGAGGATCTGCACCCTGAGAATCCAGGGCTGCTCAGAGCCTTCCAGGAGCCCAGGACGACAGCCTCCTCCTCTGGATGCCTGCTCCCCACCCATACCCACCACCAGAACCGACTCTAAATGCTTTCAGTGCTTCCGCCCCGCTACTGCTCACGGGATAACACCTTGATCCCTCCCCCTGGCCTCCCGCGGGATGGTTTCTGCCCGCCCACCCACCCGGCTCTTCCTGCCTTTGGCCCTTTCTCATGCTGTTCCCCTGACCACAACACTCTTCCCTCTCTCCCTAACACTCACCTCCAGGGCTCAGCAGAGGGGTGGCCTCCTCCCTGCCCGCTAGCCTGGGCATGCGCCCTCCGTGGGGGTCCTGCAGCTCCTGGGCTCTCCGAGTCCGCATCGCCTGAGCACTGATTCCCTCCCGCAGGTCTGTTTCCAAGACTGGGCCGTGAACCCTCGAGAGGGCAGGGCTGCCGTCACTCACGTTCCTGGCTCCAGGGCCCAGCACGCGGTGGGTGCTCCGTAAACAGCAGTGTGACTGAATGGAGTTTGTGAGGTGCCATCCATCCCCCAAGTTGCAGTTGTGCCTGGGATGTGGGCACTACTCAGAGCGTGTGTGTGTGTGTGTGTGTGTGTCTGTGTGTGTGTGTGTGTGTGTGTGTCTGTGTGTGCAGGGGCTTTAGCTCCCAGCCGCTCCTTTGGGAAAAGGGCCCGGAGTCACGGCTCAGGCCTGAGGGTCCTGTGGGTGCCCACCCTGAGCCCCTTTGCAAGGAGTAGCCTGTGGGGCTCGACTGGGGTCGGGGCCTGGTCCCCATGGCCTCCATTCACCACACCTCCCAGGTCCCCATCAATCCCGCTCCTAATGTGCCCAAGGATTGATCTTCTTCCTTGGCCTGGCCGAGGGCTGGATCGATTTCTATCTTAAAGGCACCAGCCTCCCTTCAGAGCAGTCAAATGAACATTTTGTGGAGGTGGTTATTTATAAAACAGCGCTTTCATGCTGTTCTTGACTCAGAAATACTGCAGGCTTACGTTCACTGACCTGGGCATGAGGCAGGGCTGTGTCCCCTGCTCCGAATGCATGCTCCGTCTCTCAGTCATGTCTGACTCTTTGCGACCCCGTGGCAGACTGTAGCCCGCCAGGCTCCTCTGTCCATGGAATTTTACAGGCAAGAATGCTAGAGTGGGTTTCCATGTCCTTCTGCAGGGGATCTTCCCAGCCCAGGGATCGAACCCGCGTCTCCTGCGTCTCCTGCGTTGGCAGCAGATTCTTTACCACCGCGACACCTGGGAAGTCCCCCTGCTCCGTATGGATGGTCTCATTTAGTCTCTTGATAACTTTTTGAGACGGGTTATTATGATCCTTGTTCGGATGAAGACATGGAGGCGCAGGCTGGTGTGGGAGCTTGCCTTGGGGGCAGAGCTGGGACTGGAACCCCATTCATCTACACATGCTGGGTTCATATGCATAATGGATACCTAACCCAGCTTGGGGTTCATATGCATAATGGGGACCTAACCCAGCTGGGGCGAACCCCACCCCCCGCAGCCTCCTGCCACACCCAAGGGTCGGGGGTGTCCCTGAGACGCCCTGCTGCCTGCTGCATCCCTGCTGCCTCAGCTCCAGGCCCCTCCCGTCCTTCCCACGGCATCCAGCCCGCCTGATTGCAATTAAGGACGGAACAACCGAATAGGGCTGGACTGGGGAATTAATAACCTTATCTCGCCCCAGCTGACTCTGGGGCCGCCGCACACCCCTGGCCAGGGCAGGGGACACTTTCTCTGTCTGGCTGCAGGCAGGGCTCAGATTTCTGTCCTTAGACAAGAGGGCTCCCTGATCTCGCCTGCTGGCGGCTTCTGGTCCCCGCCCCCAGCTGTGGCTGTGGGCACCTGACCGCTGCCTGGGCTTTCCCCAAAGCCCAGGACTGCTCTGCAGAACTGTCCCGAGTGGCTGGTTTGAAGTCTCAGGGCTGGACGGGCCCCAGGGGCTACTGGGCGCGTTCCTCTGTCCGTGTGCCGGTGGTGGCCGCGTTCCCCTGGAAGGGCTGGCTCTCCATCCAGGTTTGCTGGGGTGGAGGTTGTGAGTCCATGCAAGGGCCACGTCAGGCTGCAAGCCCACACTGCAGGACGGGAGCCTGCCCTGGGCCTGGCTCTGGACGTAAGTAGCGCAGGAGAAGGTTGCCGCCCAGGACTGTCTGTGGCTGCTGGCTCATTGTCCTCCCAGTTGTGATGAAAGAGAAGGTCTCATTCACCAGTGGAACTCCCAGGGCTCTTGTCTTGCAGGTTGCAGAGAAGCGAGGCTGATGTCCCCCCGCTCCGCCCCAGAAGTTCTTCCTGCTCAGCCGACTTTGGCTGGTTCATTTGCCACAGAGCGGAGACCCTTGTCATTGTGAAGAAAATCAAGTGATGCAAATGATGCTAGAGGGAGAGAAACAGCTAAACCATGTAACGTGGGTCCAACCCCCAAAGGCTCTTCTGGGTGGCTCAATGCACGGATCTCGTGGAACCCTGATTCTGCCACTAGAAAGTCAGTGTCGTTGGATGAAGGAATTTGATTTTGCTGGGCCCACTTTCTCTCTGCGAACTCTGAACCACAGCAGCTGTATGTACCTCATGGTCTATACGGTCAAAGCTTGTAGTTTTCCCAGTAGTCATGTCTGAATATCAGATTTGGGCCATAAAGAAGACTGAGTGCCAGAGAGCTGATGCTTTCAAACTGCGGTGCCGCAGAAGACTCTGGAGAGTCCCTGGACTTCAAGGAGATCCAGCCAGTCCATCCTCAGGAAAATCAACCCTGAATATTCATTGGAAGGACAGATGCTGAAGCTGAAGCTCCAATACTTTGGCCACCTGATGTGAAGAACTGACTCCTTGGAAAAGACCCTGGTGCTGGGAAAGACTGAAGGCAGGAGGAGAAGGGGACGACAGAGGAAGGGATGGTTGGATGGCATCACCGACTTGATGGACATGAGTTTGAGCAAACTCCGGGAGATAGTGAAGGACAGGGAGGCCTGGCATGCTGCAGTCCCTGGGGTCACAAAGAGTCGGACACAACTGAGCGACTGAACAACACAGCTAGGACACGAATGAATCCATCTGTGTAACCGCCTAGCACGGGACCTGGCCCAAAGTCAGGGCTGTGAAAGAGTTTATGGTCACTATTTTATCTTCATGTGAGACTCCTCTGAGAGGTCATCAGAAAACTGGCGGTCAGAGAAGGGAGGTCACCTGTCCGGGGTCACACAGCTGTAAAGGCAGAGCTGGGATTTAAACCTCAAGAGCCTCCCAGCCCAGAGGAGACCATCCTTTCTTAGAGGGTAAGCGCCAGGGCTTGGTTCTCCCCTCTGTCCTTGGCTCCTCACATGAGCTTGGGCAAGTCACGTCACCTCTTTAAGCCTCAGTTGTTCCATCTTTAAGATGGTCATATTACTTTTTCTGAATGAAGGCCGACATCTGGACTGGATGGATTGAATTAGACTGGAAGCTTGGAAGGGGCCTCAGATATGATCCAGGCTCATTCTGTCCTTTGAAAGATGTAGTCACTGAAGCCCAGAGAAGAGGAGAGAGTTTCCAGGGTCACACAGCATTTGGGATGCAGCCAGAGCCAGAAGTTTGCAGCCTCTGGGGCCAGCACTCAGGGGGTGGCCTCGGGGGGCCCTCTCTCCTGCTGAAACCTCTGGCTCCTCCCCAGTGGGCAGGGAGGTAACCCATCTCCAGGCCGCAGGCTCTCTGCTTCTTGCCTCTCTGTCTTCTGCCTCTTCTGATGGGTCCAGCCAGGTAGAAACCGTGCCCTGCAGAGCTACGGTTCCAGAGTCTGAGGCTTCACCTTCCCTGTCCCCACCCAGAGCTGGGATGGAATGCCCCAGAGAAACACACATTCTGATCGGAGCATCATTAAGACGGTGGACTGAGGAGGAGTCTTGCAGTTTCACCAGGCAGCCACCCAACCCTCCTCTGTCCCATGAGGAGCCCATCAACAATTTGGGGGACAAAGGAGGAAGAATTTTTTGGAACCTGCAGAACCCCCATTGCCCTCTCCTTCAAGTCTCTGGGGCTGGAGGAAAGAGCCAGGGAACAGGCCCTGTTTGGCAAATGGGGTGGGAAGGAAGGGCCTCCCGCAGGACACAGAGAAGCAGCGTGGAAATAAACGGGCACTACCAGGCCGCCTACTCAAGGGGGATTGGAATTCCATCTCGGGAGATTAATGCTCCCTCCTTCTAGTCCCCTACTCTCGATATTGGATTGCTGATGCCCCAGAGAGTTAATGCCCCGGGAGCACTGACGTTTAAGGGTCACTGGAGCCAGTCTCGGGGAATTGTGATTGCAGGAGCGTTAATCACCGGAGAAGGCAGTTACTCGGGACGTCTCGGACCACCACCCCGGGAAATCGGTCCTCCCAGAGCATCAATTCCTCGTGCTGCTGGCGCCGCAGGAACAATCCTTCCTCATCCTCAGGCCCCTGGCCACCTGGTTTCCCCAGGAGATCATTCCAGGCTTGATGGAGACACTGTGAGGGACTTTTCTCCCCCGAGGAGTTTTGGAGAAACGCTTCTAGACTCCAAGCAGTGGTCCCCAATCTTTTTGGCACCAGGGATTGGCTTTGTGGGAGACAGTTTTTCCATGCGTGCTGGGGGCTGGTTTCGGGATGACTCAAGCGCATTACGTTTATTGTGCACACAATTTCTGCTACTACGACCTCAGCTCCGACGCGGGTCATCAGGCGCGGGTCCTGGAGGTTGGGCCCCCTCTTCTAGGGCATGGTTCTCTCACTTTCATCACTGGAGGGCTTCTCAGAGCTCACACCGCTGGGCCCCCCACAGCTGCAGATCGGGCAGGTCTGCGGTGCAAGACTTTACATCTCTAAAAAGTCCCCAGATGACACTGATGCTGCTGGTCCCAGGGACCACACTGGGAAAGCTTCTGTTCTAGAACTTAGATGCTAAGTTTTTAACTCTCACATTTTGCATTTACATTTAAAGTCAGCCAGTCCTGTCTGACTCTTTACGACCTGATGGGCTATACAGTTCATGGAATTCTCCAGGCCAGAATACTGGTGTGGGTAGCCTTTCCCTTCTCCAGGGGATCTTCCCAACCTAGGAATTGAACCGGGGTCTCCTGCATTGCAGGGGGATTCTTTACCAACGGAGCTATCAGGGAAGCCAAAAATCTGACACTTGTAGTTTGTTTCCTCCTGCCGTTTAAGGGAGAGATTAAAAATTGTCTGACACTTGCAGCCTATTTCCTCCATTTGGAGACCCTTAGCCTTCCTACCTGTTACCCTATCATTCTGCCCTTTTCTTTTAGGAGGATTATATTGCCTAGGGAAAAGAGCATTGTCCCTAAATTGGTGAGGCAACATATTCCGAACCCTCATATTGAGGGTTAACTCTGGCTGCATTTTACTTCATTTATTTATTATTAAAAATTTCTTTTTTGTTGAAGTATAGCTTTTCTTAGGCTTCGAAGTACTTTAATTTTTTTTTAAACT